CTTAATGCAAGAGGCGTTTGTCATATTGAAGTTTGGTGGATTCTTATACATTAATCTGCAGGTTTTTGTTTTTCTTTCTCTACAAGAATAGTGGAGTATCGGGAATCATTGCACGTCGTTTGTTCGTGTCACCACGTGAGGACAGGAGAGGGAAGGAGTTGATTGAAGTGTTAAGTGTCCATCGTCCCCAAGATGAGTGCACTCGGCGTGCTTCATCTGCATGCGTTCCAAGCTGAGCCCGTCGTACCCTCGGAATGGATAATCTAATCTGCTTGATTGCCGTGGCGGCATGACGCCTAGCGGGCGTGCATAAAGAGTAAGAGATTACGAAGAATGATTACGTCCCCCCCCCCCCTGCGCGTTAAACGGAGAGATCGGGATGCTAGTTCTGGACTGAAAGGATTGAAATATGTCTTCGTTGCAGTGTGACGTAGACTTTCGAGTTCTCTGCTTGACTGGTCTCCAGTTTTCGAATTGGAGTGTTTGATGTTCTTGTCGCACTACTGAATCATTAGGGTTGACAGTTTCAGTCATTTCACTACATTTAGTGAATAATAAAAACGTTTATCAACACGATGTGTCGTTATGATTGAAAAACGTATTAATGGTGTTAACTGTATTGTACAAAACGTCTTTCAGGAACATTACAACACAAATATTTTTAAACGACTTAGCGTGTCTGTCGTTTCAACTGTATTGGTAGTGTCCGTATTTCACAAATTAATAATAGTGGCGTTTGATAAGTGTCTATCGTGCTACTTAATACTGTTACATCTGTCAGTTCTAGTTTTATGTCATACTAACAAATACTGTTATATCTGTTAGTCCTAGTTTCTATATCGTACTAGTGAATATTGTTACATCTGTCAGTCCTAGTTTTATGTCATACTAGTGAATACTGTTACATCTGTTAGTCCTAGTTTTATAACATACCAGTGAATACTGTTACATCTGTTAGTCCTAGTTTTATATCATACCTATGAATACTGTTACATCTGTTGGCCTAGTTTTATATCATACCAGTGAATACTGTTACATCTGTTAGTCCTAGTTTTATATCATACCAGTGAATATTGTTACATCTGTTAGTCCTAGTTTTATATCATACCAGTGAATATTGTTACATCTGTTAGTCCTAGTTTCTATATCGTACTGGTGAATACTGTTACATCTGTCAGTCCTAGTTTTTATGTCATACTAGTGAATACTGTTACATCTGTTAGTCCTGGTTTTATATCATACCAGTGAATATTGTTACATCTGTCAGTCCTAGTTTTATATCATACCAGTAAATATTGTTACATCTGTTAGTCCTAGTTTTATGTCATACCAGTGAATATTGTTACATCTGTTAGTCCTAGTTTCTATATCATACCAGTGAATACTGTTACATCTGTCAGTCCTAGTTTTTATATCATACCAGTGAATATTGTTACATCTGTCAGTCCTAGTTTTATATCATACCAGTGAATACTGTTACATCTGTTAGTCCTAGTTTTAAATCATACCTGTGAATACTGTTACATCTGTCAGTCCTAGTTTTATATCATACTAGTGAATATTGTTACATCTGTTAGTCCTAGTTTTATACCATACAAGTGAATACTGTTACATCTGTCAGTCCTAGTTTTATACCATACCTGTGAATACTGTTACATCTGTTAGTCCTAGTTTTATACCATACAAGTGAATACTGTTACATCTGTCAATCCTAGTTTTATATCATACTAGTGAATATTGTTACATCTGTTAGTCCTAGTTTTATATCATACTAGTGAATACTGTTACATCTGTCAGTTCTAGTTTTATATCATACCAGTGAATACTGTTACATCTGTTAGTCCTAGTTTTATACCATACAAGTGAATACTGTTACATCTGTCAGTCCTAGTTTTATACCATACCTGTGAATACTGTTACATCTGTCAGTCCTAGTTTTATACCATACCTGTGAATACTGTTACATCTGCTAGTCCTAGTTTTATACCATACAAGTGAATACTGTTACATCTGTCAGTCCTAGTTTTATATCATACCTGTGAATATTGTTACATCTGTCAGTCCTAGTTTTATATCATACCAGTGAATATTGTTACATCTGTTAGTCCTAGTTTTTATGTCATACCAGTGAATACTGTTACATCTGTTAGTCCTAGTTCACTTATAAGTGTCTATGTTTGTAGCTCAATTAGATATTTCTCTCTTTTAGATCTCGATCATAAAAAACACACTTTAATTCTTCTGAAAATTCTCTTGTTCAGATTATTTTAAACCTAGAAGTTGTTAAGTATTTAGGCTTAAGTTCTTTACAAAGAACAGTTTTAAAACTATTTTTATAAAGTTACACTGTGTAATATGGGTTGATTGTATACTTTATTTGATTGTTCAAGTATTTTTCTACTTGTAATCTGAATGGAATGTGTCAATCATATTCATAATCTTTCGTTTTTTATAGTTTCGATGTAACATCACTTTTTTGTTCTATTCACTTTATAGACTCATTAAGACATAATCATTTGCGGTTTCTTTTAAAATTAAAATGATGAACTGAATAGCATTTCCTCTGTAATTCATACAAATATTTATACCAAATAGTCATGCAAAACAATGAACGAAGATTATATGTTTCAGGACATCAAAAAATTATTGGAAGATCCACAAAGTATTAGCCTCTTCATCACGTGCTGTCGTCTCGTGAAACACGTCATATCTATAATTATGACGTGAAAGATCGTGTCGTTACAGTATGTGAATAATGCTGTGTTCTTACTGCATAGCTACGCAATGGGCTATCAACACTGCAGGGAATCGAACACTGGATTTTTACGTTGCAAATCTGTAGACTTACTGCCTGCCGACAGACCGGTAAACATCGCGTATGAAAAACGTCATCTCGTCGTCGTATGTAAAAACGTCTCGTTGTTACCAAATGTGAAAACATGACGTTGCCATTACGTATGAAAAACGTCATCTCGTCGTCGTATGTAAAAAACGTCTCGTTGTTACCAAATGTGAAAACATGACGTTGCCATTACGTATGAAAAACGTCATCTCGTCGTCGTATGTAAAAACGTCTCGTTGTTACCAAATGTGAAAACATGACGTTGCCATTACGTATGAAAAACGTCATCTCGTCGTCGTATGTGAAAACGTCTCGTTATTACCATACGTTGTCATTACGTGTGAAATATGTTGTTTCACCTGTGGAACATTAAGTTCTCACCACATTTAAAAACAAGCGTCAACTAAATGAAAAGGACACATCATCATTATTATATATGTACAAACTGATTCCATTCATTGTATGTGACGACACTACTAGCCAATGGTCATTTGTGAAACAAACGTTAAGAGTATGTCAAAATGTCGAACCTTACATAAAGCAATACGTTGTTTCTATACGCTCGCGGCGTTTCGAGCATAGGTGACAGTGCTGCCACGTAGTGGAGATATCTCTAAAGCTCTCATTGATGACATTGACAAGTTATCAATTTATCGACTAGGTGTCGCTTGAAAAACCAGATTAATGTCCTACTAATTTCTTTAGTAAATAACCAATAAATCGTTACGTTAAAAATCAATGTCCTAACAGTTATTTTTCAATTTTCTTACCAATTCTCTTGCAATTAAAAGATAGTTACGACCTTCTTATTTTGAGATTCAACTTTTATTCAATTCTTTACATAAAGCCCATTGTTCTTTTCCTTGCTCAGTGGACTTTTACTTATGCTGACCAAACGTGTCTGTTCTTTTTTTGTTTTCTGGAACTAATTTTCGTTCTTGTTGTGAAATAAAAACAAAAAACCGTGACAGGTATTTAGTTTTTAAAGGAAATATAAATTTTCCTAAACTGGGGTGTTAATATCTCCCTTCGCCCCAAAGAAATATAAACTTTTCTAAGCTGGGGTGTTAATATCCCCCTTTGCCCCAAGGAAATATAAACTTTCCTAAACTGAGGTGTTAATATCCCCCTTTGCCCCAAGGAAATATAAACTTTCCTAAACTGGGGTGTTAATATCTCCCTCTGCCCCAAGGAAATATAAACTTTTCTAAGCTGGGGTGTTAATATTCCCCTTTGCCCCAAGGAAATATAAACTTTCCTAAACTGGGGTGTTAATATCCCCTTTGCCCCAAGGAAATATAAACTTTCCTAAACTGGGGTATTAATATTCCCCCCTTCGCTCCTCTCGCGAGAAAGAAAATTTTGTTAAGATCGTGAGGTTAAAAGAAATTTCAGAGTTAATTTATATCTGCTGATTGGTTGGTGTGGAGATTTGGCAGATGTCCGGAAGAACAGGAGAAAAAGAGAAGACCAAGGCTGATGACGACGTTGATGAGAAGAAGCAAGACGACAACACTCGACTCAATAAACGCCCTGTAAACAGGGTCATCTAGTGGCTGGGATCTACAAATCCAATGCCATGGCTGGGATCAGAAAATCCAAGAGTACCAGAGAATTTGTTGTGTGGGTGGGGAGGGAAACGGGATTGTTGAGGAATGTAATTAACTTATACTATACTTGTTCCATTCTCCCTACCCTGTATGTCTGGTACAGTGTCCTTGAAAATTTAAATTTTATATGTTTTATAAAATTAGTTATATTTTTTTTTGGTTACATTTCTTAGCTTTAACATTACCTGTTTTTAACTTATTTTGACATCTTGCTCTTACAACACAGTTTAACTTTTCGTTTCTATGTTGCTAATCAACGGGCTATTTATGCTGTGCCCACAACGGATATCGAAACCCGATTTTTAGCGCTATAAGTCTTCAGACTTACCACTGAGCCACTAGAGGGGGCTTTAGATATTTGTAATTAACTATAGTAAAGATGCCCTCCTTTTTAATATAGTTTCTAAGCCTATCTGTATTGACTTTAACAAACATTACGTTATTATTTGGAATAAATAAGATATTGTTTCAAAGACCACGTCTTATTTTGTGAGCAATAATAGATCCAGCAAATTATATAAAACTTTATTTTATTAGGTACTCATCCATATACAAAAAGTCGGTGGTGATCAGTCCTATGCCTAACTACGTCTACAAGATTCCCTACAATACAGACTAGTGAAATAAAAATAGAGATTGAAGGTATGTTTGAAAAGAAGCAAAGTAAAATCTCAATTTATCAACACTTGTTTTATCTCACACACACAAAAAAACGGATAAATTCCCATGTCCAAAATTGGGAAATTTTAACACACATTTAAAATTAAATTAAAAAATAATCAAACGTTCGACACCCTAATATGAATCAACTAACTGATGATTATTACCAATAAACTCTTACAAAAACGGGATATACACCGTATTAACTCAATACTTAGCATGAAGTAGGCTTAATTCTAATTAGTCCTAATTTTCAACGTCAAGGTCACAGGAGCCAGAACTAATACTCGGCAATTTGAACTCGATAAATTAATGTGACGTAGTCTTAACTCCCATTAAGAATATTTTGTTATTATGATTGCAGAAGGCATGGTTAACACAAAGTAAAAATTAATTCATATTAGGCCTATTTTTAATGTCACAACTCCAAGAGTTAGCAGAAGGCATAGCTAACACAAAGTAGGCTTAACATGTGTTAGGCCTATTTTTAATGTCACAACTCCAAGAGCCACTGCTGTAGTAATTTTACCTAAAAATTACAAGTTACATATTTTTTAATTTGAAAACATAAACATTTATCACAAACATTAAAACATCGCATTAAAGCAATAATAAATAATGTACATTTAAGGTCGAAACATTGTATATGACTGAGTTATCAAGCATAAACTAAATACTGCAGCAAATTCTTAATTATATCTACACGCGTGGAAAGGTTGTCTGTTGTGTCAGTTATTTCTTATTCGACATCAACCACATAACAGTTCAGAATTAAACAACCCGTTAGGGATTAGCCTTAGGCTTAGCTCTTATTCTTACTGAGAAATTAACTATTAGTTTTAATATATATATACATTTCACTACATTCTCATAGATAAGCCTAAATAGCAAGTGTGTTTATTTCATTAGAACGCTGGGATCTTCTAAATTTGAAGTAAACTGTATGATAGCTTACCATATTGTTATAAGCTATATTTTGAATATTATAATTTAGTTGTTTGCTAGAGAGAGCTGCTAATCATGATGATGATGCAATATCTAGAATGATCGTGAGTGTTTATGGTCTATAAGCTTTGACTATTGGGGTACATTATTTATAAGTATGAGTAGGGAGTTAGTGAAGAATTGAGAATTCAGTGAAGTATTCATATCTGAAATATGGAATAGATATTGACCGACAGAAAAATGATCAAGTAAAGTTAAACAGTTTCGTTATCAAGCGAGTAAATTTCTGTTGAACGTTATTAGTGTACTATACTTACAGTAGTTTCAGCGTTTATATTGAAAAGTTTGTTTGTGAACTTAGGCCTACAACTTGCGTCATAATGAACGTAACCTGTAGCAAACGTTATTGAATAAATTAAGTGATTCTTTATCGTGATGTCGACTGGACTTGGTATTATTTTTACCAGATAATGTACAATAGCCCTCCTAACGATAGAATTCGTTACAAAAACACTTATAGCGTGTAATATACAAACCATAAAATTGTTAATTTTCTTGTAATTTTACTAACTTTCTGTCAGACCTACTTTATGAAACGCGATAACTTTCACCTTCCTAGTCCGATTGTACTGGTGATTTCAGGTACAGTAAGCTTTTATATCATGCCGCTGTTCAGTACTTTAAATTTTCTGCTTACGAACTATTGAAACCACTGAGATTTTTTTAAACACAAAAAGGATATGACGTAACTGTACACCGGATGAAACCATTCAAATTACAAAACTTATCTAATTGTATAACGAGATAATTTAATAATATTTTTTTCTCTCTCAGAGAGTACCAAAGTAAGTTGTAATCTCGATCAAAATATTCAGATTTTTCTTCTAGCACAATATTATTTGAATAATCACACACACACACATACAAGTGCTGTCAAATATGTACCGAATGGTTACATAAAAAAAAATAGGACCAATAGTGAAAACCATCCTGTAATTCCTTGATTTATGAGACTTCGGTTTCAACAATGTCCCGTTTCAGAAGACACGTGAATCATTAATGACGCCTTGAGGGGCGTAAAAATCTGTATTGGAGCGATGATTTTTGGAAATAAAAGGAAATGAGGAGCGGAGGGACCGGTGATATATTGCCTCTGGAATATTTTATACCTGTCTTTAACAATTGTGCATTTTTTATCTAGGCTTTTTTACACCTTTTAAATACGTTAAGGACATTAGTACTGTCTTTATGTATGCACATTCCAAATTATTTTGGATTTGGTTGGGGTTGGTTTTTTTTTAGATCAAAGCCACGTTGGGCTATCTGCTGCGTCCACTGCGGGGAATCGAACCACTGATTTTAGCGTTGTAAGTCTGTAGACTTACCGTTATCCCACTGGAGGGACATTCTTTCGAAGTATAAATCATTTTTAATTTATAAGAATTTCAAAGACAATACCGAGCCTATCACCCAGGTGACAAAGAGGGACGCATGCGCATTCTAAATTTAGGGTGTAAAATGCTATAAATAAGAGGTGGTGAATAATTACTTTTAACTGATAACTTTCACCATTTTCTAAACACAAAATTAGTCCTAACCACATGGGAAAAATTCATAATGCATACACGTAAAACGTAATGTTATCCACAGAGTAAAGATGTATAAATTTCTGTTGAACGTTATTATACCTTCAGCGTTTATGTTGAAAAGTTTGTTTGTGAACTTAGGCTTACAACTTGCGTCATAATGAACGTAACCTGTAGCAAACGTTATTGAAGAAATTAAAATACTACACTCCATATAAAACCCCTGGAACAGACATGTGCGCCTCCTAAGTATAAGAAGTGAATGGCCTGGAACGCTAATAAGATCATATTTCATTTCGATCTTGAGGTAGGTGTCAAATTATTATAATATTCTATCTATTGTCACTTATAGTAATATATTTGTCACTAATTATTTGCATGTATTTTTTTTTACGCGTGATTAGGTATAATTATACAGAGTCTCATGCTAATAAGATATACTAGTCAATAACCCCCCAAAATTTAAGGTGACTATTAATCCTTGAAAAGTATCCCTTTAAATCGTCATTATATTAGGCCTATTTTTGTAATTTATAAGCTGTAAAACTTTGGGTTTGTGTGACACGTTTTTTTTTGTTGTTGTTGTTTAGATAAGCAAACTTTTAATACACATACACACACATATATATATATATAGCTCCATACAAACAACTATTCATATATACACACATCTTTTCTTATTTCGTAGAAGAAAAGAATAAACCGTAAGAAATAAATATGGACGTTAAGATGGAGGTCAAAAAAGATTTTTGAGTTTGACCTCGTGATGGGTTTTTGTAAGCTTTGTTTCGATATATATGTAGAGCCATGCCCACCACTTAATTTTCATCACGTGTGTTGTTGAACCACTTTTACGGCAGGATAAAGTGATTTTCTAATCTTCATTATCATAAATATATCTACAATTATTTTGCAGAGACGTCACGCATCTTAAGAACACCAATGGCTAGTATGGTCTCCATAAAGCGCCCTCTGTCGGTCCGTTCGTTGATAAACTCAAGAGGCTGCTCGATGTGGCCGACGAACTTGAGTGCAACGTCATGTGGTTTCGGCTTTCCTCGTTGTTGGTTTCGTTACGGTTACTGCCAACAGGGTTAGCGCCAGGGGAGGATATCGTGTTGGTCAGTCCACCTGTTATATGACTCCTTTGCTGTTGCGACACCAAGGACGCATCCAGGACAGATCTCAGTTCGTTACCAAGGAGATGAAGAGACGGGTGCAAAGGATTTTGAGATATACTTGAACAGAACTGGGGATAAAAAAGGGACGGTGGCACAAAAGGGGTACTTAAGTACATATTAGTATTTCCTCCGTTGACAAAATTACCAGCAGTAGAGAATATGCCATAGCCACCTAGGCTTGCAGAAAAATAGGGGGCACCAGTGTTCCCAGATAAAAATGGCGTGTTTGTAGTAGGAGTCTGATGGATACTTAATCCACTCCCACTAAGCATACCTAGTCCTTGACGGAGTTCTGAGATTCGATCTGTAAGACAGGAATCACTGGACGACGACATTGTACCGTTGATTCTCGGTGTCAGGAGAGAATCAGTCTTTAAAATGAGGGCGCTCTGTTGTTCACATGGGGCTCCTAATGAAGAAGTTGCCCCAATACGTTCAGACAGTCCTGAAAAAAAAAACGGTTTTGAAGATTAAAACTTCAGAAACAGAATAATGTTTTTACACGATAAGTGATTGACCAACTTGTATGATATACGTTACTGTATAAATCACAGTTGAAGGAATTTGGCAGATGACACGCCACATCTTAGTGGTAACTTTTATGAACTTTCTGAAATACTTTTAAAATGTTTCTACTCTATTTCTAGTTCCTTTGCAACTAAGTACCAGCGTACTATAAACTATAAACCAGATATTGTGCTACGCATATATAATACATTAAAACTTCCTATGAAATGACGATCTTCTGAGGAATTGGTTTCCACTGATTTTTAGACACATAGGTGATAATTATCGCACTTATAGAGAAATAATAATATATAGCTTTACGTCAGTCCTATTTAGCACTCGCTTATATTAGCAAGTAAAGCAGGCTAACTTCATGTTAGTCCCACTTTGCACTCGCTAATGCTGACAATTATACATCAGCGTAACTTCATGTTAGGCCTACTTTATACTTACTAATATTAACAAGTAAAACAGGCTAACTTAATGTAGGGCCTACTTTGCACTTGCCAATGTTAACAAGATTAAAGCAAGATAATTTCGCGTTAGGCCTACTTTACACTCGCTAATATTAAAAAGTATAAAACAGGTCTCCATGTTAGGCCTACTTTATACTTACTAATATTAACAAGTAAAACAGGCTAACTTAATTACTTTGCACTTGCCAATGTTAACAAGATTAAAGCAAGATAATTTCGCGTTAGGCCTACTTTACACTCGCTAATATTAAAAAGTATAAAACAGGTCTCCATGTTAGGCCTGCTTTGCTATCTCCAATACAACTTATCGTTTTTTCAGTATATTAAGGTCTTTAATAATTGCAATTCGAGGAAACACTAACGTTTTTAATAAAACTACAGTTTCGTTGGTGAAATGTGTAATGGTTTTGGTGTAATCGTAAACGGCTTTACATAATTCTCGATCTTAAGACTAGGAATTTTATTTTAATCTCTGGCCTTTACATTATGTGCCTTACACTTGAGTTGTTGATGTTTTATTTATTACACTTTAACGTTTTATTTTTAAGTTATGCATCTTACTGTTTAATTGAGTTTAAGTGCGTTTTAGTTTGCTCTAATAGAAATCCGATTAGAAATACATTTAATCTTTTCGTCTATATGGCAGCTATTACTATGGTTACAAATCAAACATTGAATTTATATGACAGTAATTATTATAGTTACAGATGAAATATTATTTCTATCTGATAGTAACTGATATTGTTACACAACAAAAATTAAATGCATACAACAATGACTAATACTGTTACAGAACAAACATTATATGCATGTAACAGTGATCGATACTGTTACACAGCTAACATTATATCGTTATAACAGGGATCTATACTGTTACATAGTAAACATTATTTCTACATGGCAGTAATGGATGTGGTTACAGATCAAACATTACATCCATATTACAATGATCGATATATATACTGATCACTAGACGTTTATTTGTGCCATTACTTGATTAAACGAGTTTTTGAACACTGATGCTTCAAACACCTGTAACACAAGGTAAGTAAAATGTGACTTTATTAACATCGCAAAGTAAAATTCACAAAACATTTTAATTAAAATACTATTTAGGGCTACGTGTATAATTTCATTTTAAATAGCAATCCGATAATAAACTGCTTTTACTTAGTGAATTAATCTATTTACAAAATTTTTTACTCCCCAAAAACCCTTTTAAAAAATAGACAGAATTATAAAAAAAAAGTGAAAATTGAAAGAAAATCATACATTTTTGTTGGGACAATTGTTCCGATTATCTTCTCAGTATTCAAATAAAATTCAGTATTTTTGCAATATTAGAAATAAAAAAACTTCCTTGTTTGAAACTATTACGTCATTTTTAATTACTCTGTCACATCATTTTAGGATAAAAATAACTTTCTGTTACATTGTTCCTTAGTAAAAATGATTTTGGAAATCATTGTTCCTTAATAACAAATAATTTCTGTAGCATTGTTCCTTAATAAGAATAATGTTTGTAGCATTGTTCCTTAATAAAAAATAATTTTTGTAGCATTGTTTCTTAGTAAAAATAATTATCTGAATCCTTGTTCCTTAATAAAAAAATATTTTTGTAGCATTGTTCCTTAATAAAAAATAATTTTTGTAGCATTGTTCCTTAATAAGAAGTAATTTTTGTAGCATTGTTCCTTAATAAAAATAATGTTTGTAGCATTGTTCCTTAGTAAAAATTAAATTTTCCAATTCATTGTTCCTTATTAAAAAATATTTTTTGTAGCATTGTTCCTTAATAAAAATAATTTTTGTAGCATTGTTCGTTAGTAAAAATAATTTTTGTAGCATTGTTCCTTAGTAAAAATAATTTTCCAATCCTTGTTCCTTATTAAAAAATATTTTTGTAGCATTGTTCCTTAATAAAAATAATTTTTGTAGCATTGTTCCTTAGTAAAAATAATTTTCCGAATCCTTGTTCCTTAATAGATAATAATGTTTGTAGCATTGTTCCTTAATATGAAATAACGATTTGTAGAAATGCTCTTTCATACAAAATAATTTTCTGGATTATTGTGGATTGATATAATCTATAGAGGATTTACTTGATAAAAAACGTTCATCATGTTTTACACCACGTTCAGTAGAAAAATGTACAAAAAACGAACGCACGGTGATGGTATATACAGTCTTTCAAAATTGGAAGTAAGCGGATTAGGGGTAAATCGAAAGAAAAATAATATAAACACGAAGTTTTAAACATCCGGACTTAATCAAATATTTCGGTGAAACAAACTCCTTAAAGAAATATCATATTGAGTTATATACCATACCGGTAGCAAAAGAGTCTGGCGAATTTCCTCCCACAGTGCTATCTAGCGGACAGGATAAGCCGGAACCGATATAACCTGGTGTTTGTAAGGTCGGTGTGGACATAAGAAATGCCGAATAATGTGGAGAATATGGATTCCACTGTTCTGCACTGGCTAACTGAAGGGCTTGTAACGAGTCTGAAAAATAAGAATGTCAAACGACAAAGTCCACTTTTTTTTTTAATATTTTGGTGATAAACGTTCGTAAACGAACAATTACTTTCCCAAGTTTGGAAAAAAGAAATGAACGATTATCTGACTGTCATTCACTTACTATAACTAGAGGGGCACTCAGTAGAGTACATTAAAGATGTAATAATCACAAATCAGACAAGATATCAAATGTTGATTTATAAATACCCGTAGTTGATCCGTGAAGTCTGCGAGGCATTTCCAACGCCCACTGCTCAGCCGTCTTCCGTCTCAAGTGTTCCCATTCCCGCAGGGACTCAAAGAAAGGTGACCGCTGTCCGAAGGCTGTAGCAAAAGCCCTTAGATGTTGCTGTTGTCCTGAAAACAACCAGATTAGATGTTCTGATAGTTGTTTGTTTGCTTAGAATATTCGTGGAAAGCTAAACGAAGGATTACACGTACTATCCTTCCCTTATATTTAACTGATAGACTAGAGAGAAGTCAGCGACTCAACAGCACCCTCCGCCAACGATTGGCCTACTCTTGTCTAACCGAATAGCGAGATTTGACCGTCATCGTATAGCGCATCCTCGGTCCCGAAAGTGCAATAACCATGAACTCTCAGATTCACAGTCCGGACACGCTAACCACAAGGCTACGCCCGACCCATATATTGGTACATCCTACAAACAAAATGTGAATCGGACGGTGAATAGTATAGTTATAGATTTAGGACGTTTTGGGTTTAAACATGCATTTGATGGACAGTGTATCCCCACTGCCGTGTAGATCCGGTCATCTTACTCCACAGACACTTCTCTTACTAGGGATGTATACATTATTCCACTGAGAATTAACTAGCACGTGCTATATTTGTATCATCCTACTCCACAGATACCTCTCTTACTAGGGATGTATACATTATTCCACTGAGAATTAACTAGCACGTGCTATATTTGTATCATCCTACTCCACAGATACCTCTCTCACTAGGGATGTATACATTATTCCACTGAGAATTAACTAGCACGTGCTATATTTGTATCATCCTACTCCACAGATACCTCTCTTACTAGGGATGTATACATTATTCCACTGAGAATTAACTAGCACGTGCTATATTTGTATCATCCTACTCCACAGATACTTCTCTTACTAGGGATGTATACATTATTCCACTGAGAATTAACTAGCACGTGCTATATTTGTATCCGTCTTCTTTACCAGTTTGTTTTATGTTACACATACAAATATATATACATACATACACTATGTACATATCAAATAAGGTGCAAGTGAATGACATTAATTTGTAGCTATTAAATGACTGTTGTTGTACACGAGGATTCCTAGACCAAGGACCTGTTGTTGTACTATACCACGAGGATTCCTAGACCAACTACCTGTTGTTGGGCTATACCACGAAAATTCCTAGACCAAGGCCCTGTTGTTGTACTATACCACGAGGATTCTTAGACCAAAGACCTGTTGTTGTACTATATCACGAGGATTCTTAGATCAAAGACCTGTTGTTGTACTATACCACGAGGATTCCTAGACCAAGGACCTGTTGTTGTACTATATCACGAGGATTCTTAGACCAAGAACCTGTTGTTGTACTATATCAAAAGGATTCTTAGACCAAAGACCTGTTGTTGTACTATATCAAGAGGATTCTTAGACCAAAGACCTGTTGTTGTACTATACCACGAGGATTCCTAGACCAAGTACCTGTTGTTGGGCTATACCACGAAGATTCCTAGACCAAGGACCTGTTGTTGTAGTACTATACCACAAGGTCTCCTAGACCCGTTGTCCAAAGAAATAAAGTTTTAATTTCTTCTTATTTTTAAGCGACTCCTCTCGAAAAAGAGAGTTTTTAATTCTACAGGCGCTAACCCTAATATTCATTGCCTTTGAGACCATTTATTGGTCTCTAATTGTCTTATAGCTCAGAAATAAAGCTAGTTCAAGTTTTCTTTTTTTTTTCCAGGAATTTCGAATCAGTAGCACTAATTTTGACTTTGTGGAAATCCCACTTTTGGTCTGGGAATCGAAACCTAGATTTCTCGTTTGTCAAGTGAGTGTTTTACTAACTCAGTCAAAGAGTTAGTAAGACACCTTCTAATAACTCAAACCATCACATCTGTACAGTCTGTTATTTGTACTGACGTTCTTCATTGTTTCAAAAAATAGCAGAAAAGACCCAGTCAGGGCTCAAACCCGGGATTATTTTTTAACACAAATATTGTCACGTATATAACATTTCGTGTTTTTGGTGGCTAATCCAGCATAATAAAGCACTGTGGTCAGTACATACGAATTCTGAACCTAGTGACGACTTCATTCACCATTTCAGATGGAGAGAAAAAAAATCCAGATCAGATTGATACAGAACTGATGGAATCAAGTCCTTGGTCTATGAATCCTCGTAGTATAGTACAGCAACAGGTCCTTGGTCTAGGAATCTTCGTGGTATAGCCCAACAACAGGTACTTAAGTATTGAAACATTTAAACAGGTTGTCATACTCTACAGATAAATATACATAGTCACTATATCCAGTCACGATACACAGTCACTATATACAGTCACGATACACAAAGTATTATTTACAGTCATTATATACAGTCACGATACACAGTCACGATACACAAAGTATTATTTACAGTCACTATATACAGTCACGATACATAGTCACTATATACAGTCACGATACATAGTCACTATATACAGTCACGATACATAGTCACTATATACAGTCACGATACACAAAGTATTATTTACAGTCATTATATACAGTCACGATACACAGTCACAATACACAGTCATTATATACAGTCACGATACACAAAGTATTATTTACAGTCACTATATACAGTCACGATACACAAAGTATTATTTACAGTCACTATATACAGTCACGATACACACAGTATTATTTACAGTCATTATATACAGTATCGATATACACACAGTCACTATACACATTGCACATGGTCATGTGTACCTTCTGATATACAAGGCACGTGCTTTCCATCACTCGTCCAAGCCTTGGTCAGGAATGGAGTAATGTGTAAGGTCAAGTGTTCCCCAGATATACTCTAACCCCAGATTGATACACAGACGACGTGACATTATCATGCTACCCATCTAATCATCACGATGTTTAACTGCTTGTTATGCCCTATATTAAATTAGATGTGCTATTAACTAAGTTATTTTTTTATATCTGATCTTCGAGTAAACTCAGTAAATAATTTACTTTCCACAAGAAATCAGAGAAACTGTGTTTGTTTACTGGTTGTTGCTTTTTAACCGCAAGACTTCATAATGGGCTATAACTTCGCTGCGCCCACCGCAGGGATTGAACGCCTAATTTTACCACAAGAAATCAGAGAAACTGTGTTTGTTTACTGGTTGTTGCTTTTTAACCGCAAGACTTCATAATGGGCTATAACTTCGCTGCGCCCACCGCAGGGATTGAACGCCTAATTTTACCACAAGAAATCAGAGAAACTGTGTTTGTTTACTGGTTGGTTTTTTAACCGCAAGACTTCACAATGGGCTAACTTCGCTGCTCCCACCGCAGGGATTGAACGCTTAATTATACCACAAGAAATCAGAGAAACTGTGTTTGTTTACTGGTTGGTTTTTTAAACCTCGGTGACTTAACGGGAGCTTGACGTTTATAGTGCTTAAATTGGGCGTTCAATCCCTGCGGTGGGCGCAGCGAAGTTATAGCCCATTGTGAAGTCTTGCGGAGCGGGGAGAAAAGGAAGGGTGAACTGTAGCTTCTCAGTACTTAGCGATGGCGCACAATCACTTCGAACAAATGTTAAAACAAGGAATTAAACGTACGTCCTGTCCACGCGTAAAGAACGTTTCATATTTTATTCGTTCGTCTGTTTGTTTGTTTGTAATTAATCATAAAGTTACACAATAGACTATCTGTGCTCTGGCCACCACGGGTATCGAAACCCGGATTCTAGCGTCGTAAGTCCGCAGACATACCGCTGTGCCACTAGGGGGCTATTCGTTCGTCTTGACTGAAGATTTTAGAGAGAACAATAGCGAAATAATCGTCAGTAAATATTGTTATATTCTTATCGCGTCCCTCTAGCGTGTAAAGATAGCGTTGGGTTGTCACATGATCCAACATTTTGGTGTTTTGTTGACATTGTTTAGAAATATTTGAAACGTACAATATTTTGGTTCCAATAATAAATTTGAATGTGCCATGTACAAGGGTTAACTTAATTTAAATATGGACTAGGGTTAGTTTAATTAAATATGGAATAGGGTTAGTTTTACTAAAATATGGACTAGGGTGAGTTTAATTAAATATGGAATAGGATTAGTTTTACTAAAATATGGACTAGGGTGAGTTCAACTAAAATATGGACTAAGTTTAGTTTAACTAAAATATGGATTAGGGGTAGTTTAACTAAATATGGAATAGGGTTAGTTTAACTAAAATATGTACTAGGGTTAGCTTAATTTGAATATGGACTAGGGTTAGTTTAACTAAATATGGAATAGGGTTAGTTTAACTAAAACATGGACTAGGGTGAGTTTAACTTAAATATGGACTATGGTTAGCTTAATTTGAATATGGACTAGGGTCAGTTTAACTAAAATATGGACTAGGGTTAGTTTAATTTAAATATGGACTAAAGTGAGTTTAATTTGAATATGGACTAGGGTTAGTTTAATTTGAATATGGACTAGAGTGAGTTTAATTTGAATATGGACTAGGGTCAGTTTAACTAAAATATGGACTAGGGTTAGTTTAATTTAAATATGGACTAGAGTGAGTTTAATTTGAATATGGACTAGGGTTAGTTTAATTTGAATATGGACTAGGGTTAGTTTAACTTATATATAGACTAGGGTTAGTTTAATATGAATACGGACTAGGGTGATGTTTATTTGAATATGGACTAGCGTTAGTTTGTAATTAAGCACAAAGCTCCACAATGGCCTATTTGTGTTCTGACCACCACAGGTATCAAAACCCGGATTCTAGCGTTGTAAGTCCGGAGACATGCCGCTGTGCCACTGGGGGGCAGGGTTAGTTCAATCCAAAATGAAGTTTTAATTTAGTAATATTGAAATTTCATTGATAATTCACTTATTTATCAAAATGTTTGCGAAGATCCATTTCAAACGAAGAGCTAGATACTTGGATAAGTCCTCTGAGAGTTTAAATAGGTTGGTGTCGTAAGTCCTTTCCGTCTATACAACTTGTCACTCATTCATAATATGGTTGTGGCAACGTTATAAAAAATTAAGACTAACCGACAAAAACAGAAGAATCTTCAAGCCATGTGAAAGACAAGTAGGGTAAGGCCTAGTGCTCAGCGTGCCCAGGCTATA